GGGGGAGGGGGTGTGTTGGAGGCGGGAGAAGGGGTCAGTAGAGGGAGGGTTAGGTGGAGGGGGACAAAGGTGAGCCCTTTACAGAGGAGACAGCAACACTCAGCCCTGCCGAGTCTTCACCATCCCCCCAGACCTGCCCCTTACTGATGACGAACGGTCAAAAAGAATACCCTTCGTCCTCACATATCACTCCACCAACCTCCGGATCCAACGCATCGTCCTCTGACACTTCCGCCATCTGCAATCCGACCCCACCATCAAAGACATTTTTCCCTCCCCACCCTTATCTGCTTTCCGGAGGGACCAGTCTCTCCGTGACTCCCTTGTCCGCTCCACACTCCCCTCCAGCCCCACCACACCCGGCACTTTTCCCTGCAACTGTAGGAAGTGCTACACCTGCCCCCATACCTCCTCCCTCACCCCCATCCCAGGCCCCAAGAAGACTTTCCACATCAAGCAGATGTTCACCTGCACATCTGCTAATGTGGTATACTGCATCCGCTGTACCCGTTGTGGCCTCCTCTACATCGGGGAAACCAAGCGGAGGCTTGGGGACCGCTTTGCAGAACACCTACACTCGGTTCGCAATAAACAACTGCAACTCCCAGTCGCGAACCATTTCAACTCCCCTTCCCATTCCTCAGACGACATGTCCATCCTGGGCCTCCTGCAGTGCCACAACGATGCCACCCGAAGGTTGCAGGAACAGCAACTCATATTCCGCTTGGGAACCCTGCAGCCCAATGGTATCAATGTGGATTTCACAAGCTTCAAAATCTCCCCTCCCCCTACCGCATCCCAAAACCAGCCCAGCTTGTCCCCGCCTCCCTAACCTATTCTTCCTCCCACCTATCCCCTCCTCCCACCTCAAGCTGCACCCCCATTTCCTACCTACTTACCTCATCCCGCCCCCTTGACCTGTCCATCCTCCCTGGACTGACCTATCTCCTCCCTACCTCCCCACCTACACTCAGCTTTACTGGCTCCATCCCCGCCTCTTTGACCTGTCTGTTTCCTCTCCACCTATCTTCTCCTCTATCCATCTTCTATCTGCCTCCCCCTCTCTCCCTATTTATTTCAGAACCCCCTTCCCCTCCCCCATTTCTGATGAAGGGTCTAGGCCCGAAACGTCAGCCTTCCTGCTCCTACGATGCTGCTTGGCCTGCTGTGTTCATCCAGCTCTACACCTTGTTATCTCAGATTTTCAAGCATCTGCAGTTCCTACTACCTCTGATACTTCTTAAACTCTTAACAGCTGCTTCAGCCTTTTTTTTTCATGTTTAATGAGTACAAGGGATGAGTACAAGAGATGAATTAAGTACCATCATCATCACTGGAGAAGTAGATATAGACAGACTAATGGGCTAAAGAGGGATAAGTCCCCTGGTCCTGATCATTTGCATCATAGGATCCAAAAGAAGGTAGCTTCAAAGACTGGATACATTGGTTGCAATTTTCCAAAAATCTGTGGATTCTGAAGAAGTGCCAGAGGATTGGGAAACTGGACCTTATTCCAAAGGGTGGGAAGTTAAAAGCAGGTACTGACAAGTTGATTGGCCTAACATCTATGTTTGGAAAGATATTAGAAACAATTATAAAGGAAATAATAGCAGAACATTGTGAAAATCACAATCTAAACCAAACAAAATCAGCATGGCTTCGTAGAAGGGAAATCATGTCTGACTAATTTGTTAGTTTTTTAAAGAAGCCTCAATTAAAGTGGATAGAGGGGAACCAATAAATGTGTTTTATTTGGGCTTTCAGAAGGCTTTTGACAAGGTACCTCACAAAGGTGTTGGAGGTAGAATATCGGTATGGGCAGGGAATTGGTTCACGGGCAGGGAACAATGAGTGGGGATAAAGTTTCAGGTTGGTGACCTGTGACCAGTGGTGTTTCACAAGGATCAGTGCTGGGATTGCAACTGTTTACCAAATATATTAGTGACTTGGAAGAAGGAAGCAAATGTACTGTAGCCAAATTTGTACACATTATAAAAGTTCCAAGCAGGATGCAAATAGTTTACAGAGAGACGAAAACAGAAGTTGCTGAAAAAACTCAGCAGGTCTGGCAGCATCTGTAAAGAGAAATCAGAGTTAATATTTCAGGTCCAGGAACTCTGTCCTGAGGAAGGGTCTCTGAACCTGAAATATAAATTCGGATTTCTCTTCACTGATGCTGATAGACCTGCTGATCTTTTCCAGCAATTTTTGTTTCTGTCTCTGATTTACAGCATTTGCTGTTCCTTTGGTTTTTATTTGGTTTACAGAGGGATATTGATAAGTTAAGGAAGTGGGCAAAAATTTGGCAAATGAACTATAATGTGAGAAAGTGTGAAGTTGTTCATTTTGGAAGAGAGAACAAAAGAACAGAATATTATTTAAATGGAGGAAAAATGCAGAAAACTACAATGCAAGGGAACTCGGGGACACTTGTGTACACATCACAGAAAGCTAGCACACAAATGCAGCAGGTATTCAGGAAGGCGAATGAAATATCGGCCCTTTTTTCAAGGGGATTGGAGTATAACAATAGGGAAGTTTTAGTGCAACTAAACAAGGTGCTGTTGAGACCACATCTGGACTACTGTGACTAATGAGACCACGTCTGGACTACTGAGTTTTCAACCCTTTATTTAAGGAAAGATATAATTTCATTGGGGGTAGTTCAGAGAAGGTTCATGAGAATGATCCCTAGGACGGAAGGATTATCTTATGAACAAAGGCTAAACAGGTTGGGAGTTTAGAAGAATGACAGGGGATCGCATTGAAACATATCAGATTCTTAAGGGGCTTGACAGAGTAAATGCTGAGAGAATGTTTCCCGTCATGGGAGAGTCTAGGACCGGAAGGCAAAGTCTTAGAATAAAAGGAGGCACATTTAATACTGAGATGAGGAGGAATTTCTTTTCTATTACCACAGGCACCTATTGGGGCAGAGTCCTTGTGTATATTTAAGGCTGAGATAGAAAAATTCTTGATCATTAGGGGAATCAAGTTTCACAGGGAAAACACAGGTAAGTGAATATGAGGGATGTCTGATCAGACATGATCCTATTGAATCATGGAGTAGGCTATCCTGTTACTTTTACTTATGGCATTATGGTAAATTAGAAATCCAACAAACACAGGGACCTGTTCAAAGCAATTGTGCACTATGTCAGTAAGGCAAACAATGATGTGGTTCCCTAATCAATCAGATTAAAGAATTGTTCATGAGCAACTCAGAGTCTGAACCAAGAAGTGGAAATAGTTAAATTGAATTCAATGTGAAGTCAAATCAGGTGAAGAAAGCAAAATAAAGAAAGGATAAGAAAGATAAAAAGATTGAAAGCAAATGTTAAAATGTATTTAAATTTCATTATTTTAAATATCTACATTCTTAAATCTTTTAAATCTCTGATCTAACAATGCTAGGGTAGTCTAAGTAAAATCAGCAGAAATGAGACTTGAAATTTTCAAGTGTTCATTTCTAGTGGCAGTGAGGTTTTTCAGGAGTGATATATAAGACTCACTGCACTGTTAAAAGTTACTTGCACTAGAGTAGGCAAGATCCAACTATATCTGAGATAACTAGGTGTAGAGCTGGATGAACACAGCAGGCCAAGCAGCATCAAGCCCCTACCTAAAGATTGATCAGTAGCTTGCAGGCTTGAAATCTCACTACCCACAGGCACAAAACTCAGGGAGGCTTTAATCAGTGCAGAGGGGATCTTCCATACTCAGGAACAACTGGCGCCCACTGTTGGGACTACAACCAGTCCTCGTCAAGAAGCGAAGCTGTCTCTTGGAGTTCAGCTGAGTTTGAGGATTTTGTGTGGGCAGGGTTGGAACCCCAGCAAGGGAGTAGTGGGATGGGGGGTGTGGTTTGGATGAGAGAAAATCGTGGGAATGGACAAATAAGTCATGGTCCTGATGGGCACAGGGGTGCCCCTAAAGAAAGCAAATCCCTTCTTTCTCAAAGCAGATTGTGCTGTCAAAGCTGCTGTGCTGTCTACCTAACTTCCCACTTTCTCTACAGACTGAAATTTTTATGGTAGATGTGGACTGGTGCCTCTAAATGGCTGTTAATGATCTATTAGCTTCAAAAGACTTTACGCCAGTTGGGCTGCCTGGTAACTTACCTGACCTGATTTATTTTACATGCTTTCCACCTTCAAGTACAATAGGGGAGTGTAAAATTCAACCCTATGAGGCAAATGCAGCAATTTCACGCAGTTTAAAATATTTGGTGGGAATCTGACGGAGAGGTGACATTTGTGGTATACTTTTGGAAGAATATCACATGTCAGACAGCAATGTCTGGATTTCCATTTTTAGCTGTGTATGTGCAATGACCAGAAGTGGATGTCTGACTTTTAAATAATAATGAGCACTGTTAACCTGACTGTAATTTCTACAGCAAAATCTAGTTCATGAGCTACAAACCACAGGGAGTAAAATATAGCATTATAATATTTAAGCTATATGTCAATACAGATAAATATGAGGCCCTCTCTTACAGAATAAAAACCGAAAGAACTGCGGATGCTGCAAATCAGGAACAAAAACAGAAGTTGCTGGAAAAGCTCAGCAGGTCTGGCAGCATCTGTGAAGGAAAAAGTAGAGTTAACGTTTCAGGTCCGGTGACTCTTCCTCAGAACGTTCCTCAGGACCCGAAACACTAACTCTGTTCTTTCCTTCACTGATGCTGTCAGACCTGCTGAGCTTTTCTAGCAACTTTGTTTTTGTGCCCTCTCTTACCATATCATTTGTTGCAGTTGACTAACATCTTGAGCTGCATTATTCAATTTGTGCTATTTATTTTACTTAGGAAATTTAACACCACGCCTCAAGAGTCTTTTCAGCAAAAATCCTACATTTGCCGGGGTATGTCTACCAGATGTCCAAAGACCTGAATCACCGGAAAAAAGACTGTTAAGGTGTAATCCTTTGTTGACTGTGCTGGTAAAGGTAACATGGAGAGAGAGTCAATTATTATCAGTTACTAGAGGCTTGTGCACTGTGCTTATTTGATTTTCTTAAAAAGGGAATTTAACCCCTTCCAACTCCATTTTGGTTGCACCCTCTCCCTCTCTCTTGAACCTCCTCTTCACCTTTAGTGTTATTACATTGCCCTTAATGGGCTCTGAGCATAAGTTGAACAATTGGAGAAAGGTACTTTAATGGTGTTTAACAAATGAAGAATATCGTAGGTGATTTAACGGTGGGAAAAGATGTTTGGCTGTGTGTGATAGAACTTCTGGATATATAAAAAAGAGAAAACTTAACATTTTCCCACTTTATACCCATTTGCAAACTTTTTGCCCACTTACTTCACCAATCACTATCTCTCTAACCTATTTGTATCCTTGCCTTTCCATTTATTTTTGTACCATCTGAATGTTTGGCCACAGTACATTTGCGTCCTTCCTCCAAAACAGTAATATATGTTGTAAACAGTTACGGTCTCATCATTAATCCCTGTGGAACCCCATTGGTCACAGGGTTACTGTGTGATTTATTGGTATTTTTTGGTCAGATATTGTTGTGCGCTGATGTGCTGTGCTCTTCCATTATTGAGGATGATGTTATTTCAGGAGCCTCCTTCTCCAATGAATTGTTGAATTGTTCACCATCATTCATGATTGGATGTGTTAGAACAACAAAGTTTAGATCTGTTTTGAAATGTATAAAAACTAAAAGAACTGCAGGTGCTGTAAATCAGAACTGAAAATAGAATTTGCTGGAAAAGCTCAGCAGGATTCGCAGCATCTATGGAGAGACATCAGAGTTAACTTTCGGGTTGAGTTCTGAGGAAGGGTCAACAGATATCAGAATTAATGTTTCAGCTTGAGTTCTGAGGAAGGGTCTCTGGAGTCGAAACGTTACCTCTGATGTCTCTCCATAGATGCTGCTGGACCTGGTGAGCTTTTCCAGCAATTTCTGTTTTTAGGGGAAAGTTTTGATCTGATTCATTGGTTGTGGAATTGTTTAACTCTATCTGCCACTTGCTACTTATGCTGTTTGACAGTCACATCGGCTGTTGTGTAGCTTCATCAAGTTGATACCTCACTTTTAGGTATTCCTGATGCTGTTCTTAGCATGCCCTCCTGCAGTCTTTACACCCCTGCTTGATGGTAGTGATAGAGTGGAGTATTCCAGGCCATTGTGTTGCAGATTGTGTTGGAGTATGATTCTGCTGCTGCTGATGGTCCATGTCACCTCATGCACGCAAAATCTTAAGTTACTTGCTCTGTTTGAAGTTTATCCTATTTAACACAGTGATAGTGCCACACAACACAATGTAGGGTCTTCTCAATGTGAGGAAGGGACTTTGTCTCCACAAGGACAGTGCAGTGGTTATTGTTACCAATACTGTCATGACGGATGCATCTACCGCAGGCAGATTAATAAGGATGAGGTCACGTATGTTTTCTCTCTTGTTTATGCCCTCACCACCTGCTGTAACCCCAGTCTATCAGCAATATCTGTTAGGACTTGACCAGCTTCATCAGTACTGATACTGTCAAGCCAAACCTGGTGATGGACACTGAAGTACCTCACCCAGAGTGTATTCCACAACCTTGTTACCCTCAGTGTTTCCTCCAAGTGTTGTTCAACATAGAAGAATACTGAGTCATCAGTCAAGTGAAGGCGGTATGTGGTTATCAGTAGGAGGCTTCTTTGCTCATGTTTGACCTGATGCCATGAAAATTCATTTACTGTTATCATTAAGCACTTAATTACAGATTATTGTTGAATTGATCATCTGCCATGGTAGGATTCAAACCCCGGTTGCCAGAACATTATCTGGGTTCCTGGATTACTCATCCAATAGCAATATCATCAAATACTAACGCATTACGTCTTCTACAACTTCAGAATGTACTAAAGGGGCTCTATAGCCAATGAAGTACTATTTAAGTGTAGTCATTTGTTGTATTGTAAGAAATTCAGCTGTCAATTTGTATTCAGCAAGGACCCACAAATGGTGAAATGGCAATGATCAGACAATCTTTATTTCTGTGATGTTGATTAAGGGATAGGTACTAGTCATGACACAAGAGATAACCCATCCATTCTTCTTCAAAATGGTGCCACATGATTTCTTATGCCTACCTATTTGTGTATATGGGGTTAGCATCCCATCTGTAACATACTCTATTGTTTTTAAAGAGCAAGGATTTAATTAGCTAGGAACCAGTTGTATGTGTACCTGTTCCAGCAGAAAACATTCACATCTGCATTGGAGAATCAGCTGTTGTGTGTAATGTGACACTGGCCTAAGCACTCTTCTAGCTTGCAGCATGACAATTGAATGAAAGACAAAGAACTCTTAGATTTCCAAGCCTAAATTGTGATTATTTCAAATATCTTGTAACCCGAAGACATTCAAAACATATAACAGTTCCAGAAGATGGCGCATCTGACAGGTCAGCACTTCCTCAATATTCCTTTAGAGCAGCTGAAATAGTTGTGTCCAATTTGTGTGTTTGAATATATGACCTTCAGACACAGAGGCTAGGGCTATACCCAATGAATAACTGCAGGAGCTATTGAGGAGCTTTGCAAATCCACTTTTTTTGCTCTCATAAAATGAGATTCTCCTTCTAATACGAAATACAATGATAAGATATCATCTTTGAAATTAATTCTGTGATGACTTCTGATTAAGAAACTTGAACTCCTAGTTATTCAACTACAACTAATTTTGGGTACCAGACTAAATTACTTTGACTGGTTTAATTATTGCAATTTCCATTTTTGGTCCCTCAATAACTGAGAGACAGTTACAGGTTTTTCTTGACAGATGTATCGATTTATGATACTTTCACAGAAATGCTTACAAATGGACCCGGACAAGAGATCGTCATGCACTGAGCTGCTGAAAGCTGAATATTTCACAGCAGATGGATTCTCAGAGAAGTGAGGACATTTTCATTCAGAGAAAAAGTGATTTTACTGGATATATGTAACATTGCAGATTATTTTTCTCATAGTTTATTGAATAAGGATTCATACATTCATGGACATGTAAGACATAATGTACAATTGGGCTGATTTGTACATGGAGGATTATTCTCCTGCAACCACCAACCCACTCAGTATAAATGTGGATCTTAAACTGCCAGCTCAGAAGTTGGATTCCCTGCTGTGGTAATATGCTGGAAACAGCTTGAATTGGTCCAGAATAGAAGCCTCCTATTTGCGAGGAAGTCCCACCCTAGCGAGCAGCTGGCCAATCTGATCGGTGTTGGTTCTTTCTCATAGTGTCTGAAGATTCAGTAAGTGTGGCCTAGCCTGCATCATCCCAAGAGTAAGTTATCTAAAGGCTCAATCTCTCACATGACTTCTCAAAGTCAAATGGCAGAGATGTGACAGTCGTTTATTTGTCTATTTGTTCAGCTTGGTATTGGTATGTTTGTACCGCAGATTAATATTGTGTGTTATTAAAATGGTGATAGAAGTTGCTTCTTCATGTCAGGGTCTACACAAGGGGTTTTGGATTTCAGGACTGTTGGGGCTGGTTCTGGAAGAGTTGGAACCTGTATAAACCAAAGAAGTTGTATTTCAGCAGGGATGTCAGAGTCCATTTGTGCTATTGGAGAGGATTTAAACTAACTTTGCAAAGAGATAAGCACCCGGGTGTAGATTCAGATGGGAGGGAAGAAAAGTTTGAAACTCAAGGCAGAAAATGTGTAAAAAATGTGGAAAACAATGGAAATAAAAGCTAGAAAATAAGCGAGAAAGGAATTGCTAATTAAAGGTATATATTACAATGCAAAGTGTTTGGTTGAAATGGCAAATGTGCTGAATGTGTAGAAAAACACTTGAAAGTATGATATTGTAGCTGTTACAGAAACATGGCTCAAAGGAGGACAGGACGTGCAGTTCAGCATTCCTGGCTATTGGGTTTTCAGGTGAGATAGAGAAGAGTGAGAAAGAAAAGAGCATCACAATATTAGTTGCAGACACACAGCTGTGAGCAGTAATGATATGTTAGAAGGATTGTCAAATAACACCACGTAGATTGAAATGAAAAACAAAGAAAGGACAGTCACGCTGGTGAAAGTACACAATAGACTCCCAAACAGTCAGAAGGTGATAGTAAAACAAATTATTAGGCAAATTGCTGATAAGTACAAAACAAATACATTAATAATAGTAGTGGATCCGCAATGACCCCAGTATTAACTAGAATCAGTGTAGATTATAGTGAATGCAGAATTCCTAGATTGCTTTCAGGAGAGTACTTTTTGCTAGTCTATAAGAATGCAACAAGAGAAGTAACAATTTGGATTTAGTTTTATGGAATGAAGTGGGATGGGGTAAGGGTTATCAGTGGGATAACATTTAAGTGGCAATGATCATAATTTGCTTAGATTATGTGTAGTTATGGAAAAAAAATGACAAGGATAGGCCAGGAGGAGAAGTTCTCAAATGGGGCAAGGACAATTTTAATAAGCTGAGATGTGATTTATCAGAAGTGGACTGTAAATAGTTACTGTTAGTTGAAAGATTAAAAAAAACATATTGAGGAGGTTCAAGGAAAATATGTTCCTAGATAGAAAAAGGGTGAAGTTACCAAATTCAAAGCTTCCTGGATGTTGAAGAACATGCAGGTAAGATAAAACAATAAAAGGAATCTTACATCTGTTACTCAAGACTAGTACCATAGAGGCCTAGAGGAATACAAAAAATACAGTGATGACATTAAAGAGGAAATTAGAAAGGCAAAGAGTGCATGAAAACAATTTTTTCTTTTTTATTCATTCACGGGATGAGGGTGTCGCTGGCTAAACAGCATTTATTGCCCATCCCTAATTACCCAGAGGGCAGTTAAGAGTCGACCATTTTGCTGTTGGTCTGGAGTCACATGTAGGCCAGACCAGGTAAGGATGGCAGTTTCCTTCCCGAGAGGACATTACAGAACCAGATGAGATTGTGCTGACAATTGACAATGGATTCATGGTCACCATTAGATTCTTAATTCCAGATATTTATTGAATTCAAATCCCACAAGAAATTTTACAAGGAAAAGTCATAGTCCTTTTGTTAAGTAAGTGAACCGCATTGCACAAATAACAAAGGAAGGAATAGGGCATACGGTAACTAGTGTGTGAATTAAAATGATGTAGTTATGTTTCACAATGAACAGGTTGTGTTTGTTTTCACAAAACTATAGAATAAAGCTGTTGGGGCGAGGGAACGGTTTAGCTGGGAGCAGCGACTTTGTTTCAGTGAATTGGGCTGGTTATTGGTTTCCGCAATAAATATGTTTTAAGAACCTGAATCACCAAAAAATGGATGTGTTCATTATGGAAGTTTATTGTGATTGAATGACAATCATAGTAATAATAAATCACAAGAACTCTGAGGTTTGTTTGCAGGATCCTTTGAAATACTTGGTTGTATTTTGCAGATTTATACCAGAGATTCAAGCTCAAGTTCTTAAGGATATGAAAGATAATCCACTTTTAGTCAGAAAACGTAAAAACATCAGCAAAGAAATTATTGAATATGAAAAAGCGATGTTAACCGTCAAACAAGGTGCTAAAAAGCATGGAAAGGTGAGAATTCTTGGGTTGCTGTATGAGATTATTATTCCAACACGTTGAAAGGGTGAATATTCACTGACACCATTTTAAAAAGCACTGAATGGGCCAAGAGTTGGATACTGGAACCTCATTGTTGGGATGTAGGATTCTATTCCATTTACCTATGTCCAAAAAGCTCAACTGCAATATAATACAAGCATAGAAGTTCCCAAATATCAATGGAATCACGCCTGAAATAAGTCCAACTAACTCCAGAAAGCTTAGTAACACAGAGCATTGATTGACCTGCAAAGTGACAAGTGACAAATGCCAGATAATGATTGTCTCCAATAAGAAACAATTTATCCATCACCCCATGATACTCAATGGCACTACCTCACTTAATTCCACACTATCAATATCCTGGGGGCTACCATTGACTAGAAACTCAATTGGTCTAGCAATGTAATTCATGGAACAGTTCAAAAGCTAGGAATACTGTAGTGAATAACTCACCTCCTGACTCACCAAGTTCTGTCCACCATCTACAAGCACAATTCAGGGAGCAGTGGAATACATCCCACTTGCCTGGATGGGTGCAGCTCCAACAACACTCACAAAGCTTGACACCATCCAGGACAAAGCAGCTGGCTTGATTGGAACCATATTGACAAACATCCACCACTGATACTCCGTAGCAGCAGTGTGTACCACCTTAAAGGTGCACTGCAGGAATTCACCAATGATCCTCAAACAGCACCTTCCAAATTCATGACCTCTTCTATCTAGAAGGACAAGAGCAGCAGATACATGGGAACATTACCACCTACAAGCTCTCCTCCAAACCACTCACCATCTGACTTATATCACTGTTCTTCAGTGTCATTGAGTCAAAATCCTGGAGTTCCCTCCCTGATGGCATTATGGTTGTACCTACACTAAATGCACTGTAGCAGTTCAAAGAGACAGTTCGCCTCCACCTTTTCAAGGCAGCTAGAGATGGCCAATAAATTCTGGCCAGCAGCACCCATGTCCCACATGTGAATATAAAAAGAAACTCCCAACTGCTTCAGCTCAGACAACCCAAACTTGGCAGGCATTGACTTGCATGGGTTGTTGCCAGCAAAGTCCTCAGTGACAGTTTAAGGTGAGAGATGAAAGACTTAAAAAGGACCTCTACCATGTTCTTCTGCCCCTATATTTTGAAATTCAAATCCCAAATTATAATATACCTTTCATTGGACCGCCCCCAAAGATAACAATGAAAAGGTTATCTTGAGGTATTTTCATTTTCTATCAATGTTTGTTCTTATCGCTATTACCATATTACAATAAACACAGTGATATTCATCACCTTTTTCCATGCACGCCCATTTTGACCAGGGAAATAATTTTCCTTTACTTTTCATCTTGATAAAGTGCCCACTGAAACATTGTTCTTTGGAGCCATGTAAATGATCCTTAATTTGTATGGCTATAACATTAAACCCTCTAATAAGATAGTCTTCAGTTTCTGGTCAAAAATCTCTCCAGAAAATCTAAAGATTATTATCTATATAAGTTCCTGCAGAGCTGTTGCTTATGCAAGCATTGAATTTCCATATAGCTAACATAAGACTCATTGTCTCATTCTCCACAATTGAAAATTTGCATTGACTTGCATTTACGAGTTGAGAAGAATAACTGGCCTTTTGAGGCAATTCCCATTGACAAAACACAGCACCTGTATCAATATTGCTCAACGGGCAGTTTGAATGACTTTTCATAATTTGGTGTGCTAAAACCAGTGTGGTTTTTAGCACAGCTTTAAAATTTTTGACACACCCTTGAAATTCTTTTATCCGTTCAAATATTTGCCTCTCTTCAATTAAAATACTGAAGGAACAATAAAGTGCCAAGATTCCAATAAAATCCTCTCAAGCCACATAATCGCAGAATTTCACGTTTTGTCTTGGGCACACAAAAGTCCAAAGCAGTCTTTTTTGCTTTCCTACATGCTGTTTGACCTTGTCTCTTGCCATGCATCAAGACTTTTGCTTTGGCAATTCACTTCTAGGCAGATTTTTCTCGAAATTACTTCTTTGTAGCTGATCAAACAGCTCCTTCAAGTAGCAAAGATTTTCTTCCTAGATTTGACTGAACACAGCCAAGTAATCTGTATAGATAATGCAGCTACTTAATCAATGCACAGCTTTGTTGATTAGTCATTGGAAATTTGCTCAACCTATCTTAAAAAAATTACTTTTACAGAACTAACCCACAACGCTGCTGAAATTCAAATCCTAAAATATGGTATATACATTATATAGATAGAAACATGAAAAATAGGAGCAGGAGTCAGCTATTCAGTCTTGCGAGCCTGCTCCACTATTCAATATGATTGTGGCTGATCACCCAGCTCTATTCCTGCTTTCTCCCCATACCTTTTGATCTCTCTAGTCCTAAGAACTGTCATGTTCTTGAAAACATCCAATGCTTTGGCCTCAACTGCTGTCTCACAGTGCCAGAGATCCAGGTTCGATTCCACCTTCAGGTGACTGTCTGTTTGGAGTTTGCACATTCTCTCCGTGACTGTGCAGGTTTTTTCCAGGTCTTTCGGTTTCCTCTCACAGTCCAAAGATGTGCAAGTTGGGTGGATTGGCCATGCTAAATTGCCCGTAGTGTGCAGGGATGTGCAGGTGAAGTGGATTACGAGGATAGGGTAGAGGTGTGGATCTGGGTGGGATGCTATTCGGAGGGTCAGTGTGGACTCAGTGGGTCGAATGGTCTTCTTCCACACTGTGGGGATTCTGTTATTCTAAATGCATTCGGGCAAAAGAGTGACTAGGGAGAAAATAAGGCCCCTTAAAGTTCAATGTGGCCGTCTATGTGTGGAACTGCAGGGAGGTGGTCGAGACACGAAACAAGTATTTTGCATCAGTATTTACTGTGGAGAAGAACATGGAAGTTCGGGAGCTTGGGGAAATAAATAGAGATGTCTTGAAAAGAGTTTATTTTACAGAAGAGGAGGTGCTAAGTCCTGGGACCTGATCAGGTGTTTCTCAGAACTTTGTGGGAAGCTAGGGAAGAGATTCCTGGGCCCTTTGTTGAGATATTTGTATCATCAATAGCCAAGGGTGAGGTGCTGGAAGACTGGAGGTTGGCTAATGTGTTGCCCCTATTTAAGTAAGGCTGTAAGGAAAAACAAAGGTACTACAAATTAGTGTGTCTTATGTCAGTGGTGGGTAAGTTGTTGGAGGGGATTCTGAGGGACAGGATTTATTCATGTGGCAAAGGAAAGAACTGATTAGGGACAGTCAGCATGACTTTGTGGGAGATCATATCTCACTAACTTGCTTGTGTTTTTTGAGGAGGTGACAAAGAAGATTGATAAAGGCAGAGTGGTAGACGTTGTCTATATGGACTTCAGCAAAGCGTTCGACAATGTTCTGCATGGTAGACTGGTTAGTATGTTTAGATCACATGGGATCCGGGGGAGCTGGCTAATTGGATACAAAATTGGCTTGAAGGAAGGAGACAGAGAGTGGTCATGGAGGGATGCTTTTTGGAATGGAAGCCTGTGACCAGTGGTGTGCCACAATGATCAGTGCTGGGTCCATTGCATCTTGTTATTTACATAAATGATTTGGAAGCGAATATAGCAGGTATGATTAGTAAGTTTGTTGAAGACACTAAAGTAGATGTTGTCATGGAAAGTGAAGATAGTTGTCTCAGAGTACAACGGGACTTTGATCAGATGGGCCAATAGGCCAAGGAGTGGCAAATGCAATTTAATTTAGATATATGTGAGCTGTTGCATTTTGGTAGGGCAAGCTAGGGCAGGACTTATACCCTTAATGGTAAGGCCCTGGGGAGTGTTGCTGGACAAAGAGACCGAGGGGCACTGGCGTATAGTTCCTTGAAAGCGGAGTCGCATGTAGACAGGGTGGTGAAGAAGGTCTTTAGCATGCTTGCCTTTATTGGTCATGATATTGAGTGTAGGAGTTGGGAGGTCATGTTGTAGCTGTACAGGACGTTGTTGAGGCCACTTCTGGAATACTGCATACAATTCTGGTTGCCATTCTATTGGAAGAATGTTGTTAAACTTGGTAGGGTGCAGAAAAGATTCTCAAGACTGTTGCTGGGACTGGAGGGTTTGAGCTATAGGGAGAGGCTGAATGGGCTGGGGCTATTTTCACTGGAGCATTGGAAGCTGAGAGGTGTCATAACGGGCATGAACAAGGTGAATAGCCAAGGTCTTTTCCCTGGGGTGGGGGCATTGGTTTAAGGTGAGAGGTGAAAGATTTAAAAAGGACCTGAGGGGTAAATTTTTTCACACAGAGGATGGTGCATGTATGGAATGAGCTGCCAGAGGAAGTGGTGGAGGCTGGTACAATTACGACATTTAAAAGGCATCTGGATGTGTATATGAATAGGTCGGGTTTAGAGGGATATGGGCTAAATGCTGGCAAATGGGACTCGGTCAGATTGGAATGTTTGATCGGCATGGATGAGTTGGACTGAAGGGTCTGTTTCCGTGCTGTATGACTTTATAACATAACAGTGGTAAAGTTTGTAATTTCAAACCGAGTTAAATTAGTAGGCTTGATATTTTACTAAGCATTTTGTGAATTCTTAAATTAAGAACAATTTTGGGATTTGAGCTGTCAAGTCAAGAAACATCACAAAGTGTAATCTCTGTTCAGTATCTGGCCCCACCACAACTCAGATCAGGAACGTAGCAGCTTCAGAAAAATAATGCTGTGTACTTCATTGCAATAGGAATAACATACGTTCCTACAAGAATGCACATCATATCAATCTAAACCTTTACTTTGTATCTGTAATAGAACGTCAATTGCTTTTGCTTTTCAGAAAATGTCAGACTTTTTTTACTCAAGATTGACACATGCAACATTTATTTTGAGACATTTGAGTGCTTCAATATTTGAAAACAAAAACTTATATGGTCCAATGGTTTGTGCTTTTAACTGGATAAAATAAATTCAAGAAGCTCCAAAAAATTTTATGGTGTCTAGCTTATTATTTTACATTTCTCAAACATGCAGAACAAATTTATTTTAATGTAGGATGTCACAAAGGATAAGGAACCTAAAAGCAGGAAATACAAACGTACAAACGTAAAAGCAGAAACAACAAAGGCAGAAAAAGTGGACAATCCAATTGTCTGGAAATCCTCTCTAACGCCTCAAGAAGCCATCCAGGGAAATTTTTCAGAAGGAACTGAGGGGAAGCATACAGGAACAGAAGGGAAGAATACTAACTGTAATAAAACAAATTCAGCAGCCACTTCTGCCAGGGATTTGAACAATAGTGAGGAAGCTCTAAACTCTGCAACATCAGCCAGCATCCCTCCAATTGGCATGCATAGTGGAATGACTACTTCAGCAGTTTCCAACAAAAATATCAATACTGACACCAATGATACTTCAGTGTCAAACTCAAGGTAATTACTCAGGAAATATAGTTTAAAACAATTGTATGGTCATCAATAATATACTAGTCCATGAATAGATTCTTCTGTGAGACTGTATTAAAAATCTTTCATGCATTGCATAGTTGAAGTCACAGCTGTTAGTTTGGCAAGGTTTTCTGGTGACTTGCAGTTGGTTTATTTTTGGTTGTTATAAGTATACTGGTAAGGAGCAAAGTAGAATAAAACCTACATAAAATAGTCCCTTTTTGACTGTGACCATGGAGAGTGCCTTACAGAGGAAGTACTGAGTTAATAGTTTGAGAAAAAGTCATACTCACATTCAGACAGACAAAATCCTTAGGCAATGCTTTGTTGCATAATGTTTTATTACCATATCTATAAATAAAACATTTGCTTCCGGGGCCAGGAGTTTTAGGACAAGGGAGTTCCCCTTCTGGAATCTGATTAGCCAGCAGCTTTCTACTCCCAGAAGTGCCAGATGCTACAGTAGATTTGCTTGGCTTTGCAAGCAATCCCAGAATCTAACTCCAGGGAACTCAGGACAAAGTAAGTGTGGTGCTTTCAGAGCTGAAGCAGAGGTGAGGCACAGAATAGTGGGCAGAGAGTGGAGTGAGGATGTTGGTGGAGAGGCTAGGGGACGTGAGGTCAAAGACGGAGCATTAGCAGGTAACAAACCTGGTTGAAGAGCACTCAATGTTGAAAGGAAGCATTTTTTGGCCTACCTTCCATCTGAGGCCTTAACAAGATCAATTTCCAGGTTTACCCCTTGCCCCTGAACCCCTCCCACCAAGCTGAAAACCAAGACTAGGTGGCAAACAGCCTCTCAGTAACCATTAATTTGCCACATTAGGACATTATTGGGACGAGGATGGGCTGAATGGGCTAGGCCACATCTATTCCACAGTAAAACCATAGAGAGGTTGGAGCAGGTGAGAGGCAAATAGGATGGCCACACAAGGAATTTTAAATCCTTCCCCCTCACCCCATCACCACCAGCAGCAAACCTGCTAATGGCAGAGTGTAAAATTCTGCCCAGAAACAGAACAGTTCTGAAGAAGGGTCACTGGACCCAAAATGTTCACTGTGCTTTGTCTCCACAGATACTGCCAGACCTGCTGAGTTTCTCCAGCAATTTCTGTTTTTATTTCAGATTTCCAACATCTTCAGTTTTTTTTTCAATAAAACTCTGCCATTTGTTTTTCAACGGAAGGCATATGTTGCAGAAACAGATCACTGTTCTTATTACTACCTGGAGCTTGCCCCTTTTTTTTACTGGTTTAGTCGGCATTTCACTGTCATCTAAGTATAAACTAAGTCTTAATTTAATCCTATTATGTATTGTATTAAATACAGGTAGATGGAACTTTGAGGTTAAAAATAGACCATCTTCAAGCCTGTTCCTACAACATGACTAATCTGTTTGTAGTCTCATATCCACCTAACTGTGTGCAGCTCTTGTTCAGAAACTTTGTCCCCTCGTTTTGGTCTCCACCCATCTCCCAATATCCACCCTATCAAGTCCTCTCAGAATCTTATGTGTTTGAACACGATCACTTCTCCTTCTTCTAACCAGCAGCATAAGGGAGAAATAGTGGATGTAATATATTTGGATTTTCAGAAGACGTTTGACAAGATATCACATGTTAGGCTACTTAATAAGATAAGGGCTCATGGTGTTAGAAGGTCTAAAGTAAAATGAATAGAGGATTGGCTAACTAATAGAAGACAGAGAGTTGGGTTAAGGTGGACATTTTCAGGATGGCAACCTGTAACTAATGGAGTACCACAGGGATCAGTGCTGGGATCACAATTATTTACAAGATACATTCATGACTTGGATGAGGAAGTTTGTAGACAAGTTTGCATATTACTCAAAAATAGGTGGGAGGGCGAGTGGTGAAGATGATACAAAGAGTCTGCAGAGGGATATGGACAGATTAAGTGAGTGGGCCAAAATTTGGCGGATGGAATATAATGTGGGAGAATATAAGGTTATGCATTTTCACAGGAAGAATAGAGGAGTTGAATATTATTTAAATGGAGAAAGACTGCAGAAAGCTACAGGACACAGAGATTCAGGAGCCTTCATCCATGAATCACAAAATACTAGCATACAAGTCCGGCAAGCACGAGGGAAGGCAAATGGAATGTTGGCCTCCATCTCAAAGGGAATGGAGTACAAAAGAAATGAGGTTTTGCTAAAACTATACAAGGTGCTAACCGGATCACAGCTGGAATAATGTGAACAGTTTCGGGCTCTTTATCTAAGGAAAGATACACTGGTATTGGAGGTAATCTGGAGAAGATTCACTAAGCTGATTCCAGGTGTGGAGGACTGTCTTATGAGGTGAGATTAAGTAGGCTGGGCTTGTACTCATTGGAAGTTAGAAGAATGAGAGGCCACTAATTGAATTGTGTGAGGTTCTGAGGGGACTTGATAGGGTGGATGTGGGAAAGCTCTTTCCTCTTATGGGGAGAGTCCAGGACCAGAGGTGATAGTCTCAGAATAATGGGTCAGACATTTATGACAGAGATGAAGAGGAATTTCAGCTCTTTGAGGTGAATCTGTGGAATTCTTCACCAGAAAGGGCTGGTGTGGCTAGGCCATTAAGTTATTTTTATTCTTTAATCTTTATTTATTCATTTGTGGGAAGTGGGCGTTGTTGGCCGACGAGCGTTTATTGCCTGTCCCTTGTTGCCCTTGAGAGGGTGATGATGAGCTGCCTTCTTGAACCACTGCAGTCCACCTGACGTTGGTTGACCCACAATGCCATTAGGGAGGGAATTCCAGGATATTGACACAACAACAGTGAAGTAACAGCGATATATTTCCAAGTCAGGATGGTGAGTAGCTTGGAGGAGAACTTAAATGTGGTGGTGTTCCCATATGTCTGCTGCCTTTGTCCTTCTAGATGGAAGTGGTTGTGTGTTTGGAAGATGCTGTCTGAGGATCTTTGGTGAATTTCTGCAGTGCATCTTGTAGATAGTACACACTGCTATTACTGAGTATTGGTGGTGGAGACGGTACATGCTTGTGAATGTAGTGTCAATCAGGCAGTCTGCTTTGTCCTGGATGGTGTCAAGCTCGTTGAGTGTTGTTGGGGCTGCACTCATCCAGGCAAGTGGGGAGTATTCCATCCACTCCTGACTTGTGCTTTGTAGATGGTGGACAGGCTTTGGGGAGTCAGGAAGTGGATTACGTGCCTCAGTATTCCTAGCCTCTGACCTGCTGTTGTATCCACTGTGTTTATGTAATGAGTCCAGTTTAGCTTTTAGTCAATAGTAGCCTCCAGAATGTTGATAGTGGGAGATTCAGTGACGATAACACCACTGAATATCAAGGGGCAGAGGTTAGATTGTCTCTTATTGGTGATGGTCATAGCATGGCATTTACGTGGTGCGAATGTTACTTGCCAGTTGTCAATCCAAGTCTGGATATTGTCCAGATCTTTTTGCATTTGAACATGGACTGCTTCACTTTTTGAGGAGTCACAAATGGTGCTGAACATTTTGCAATCATCGGCAAACATCTCCAGTTTGGACCTTATATTAGAGGGGTGGTCATTGATGAAGCAGATGATGTTTGAGCTTAAGTCAGTACCCTGAGGAAGTCCTGCAGAAATATCCTGGAGCTGAGATGACTGCCTGCCAACAACCATGACCATCTTCCTATGTGTCAGGTATGACTGTAACGGCTGGAGAGTTTGTTCCCTGATACTCAATCATTCCAGTTTTGCTAGGGATCCTTGATGCCACACTCGGTCGAATGCAGCCTTGATGTCAAGGGCTGTCACTCTCACCTCACCCCTGGAACTCAGCATTTTGTCCTTGTTTGAACTAAGGCTGTAATTATGTCAGGAACTGAGTGGCCCTGACAGAATCCAAATTGGGCCTTACTGAACATGTTATTGTGGAGCAGGGCACTGCTTGATAACACTGTTGATGACAACTTTCATCACCTTACTGACGATCGAGAGCAGACTGATGGAGCGGTAATTGGCCGGGTTGGGTTTGTGCTGCTTTTTATGCACAGGACATACTTGGGCAATTTTCCACATTGTCGGGTAGATACCAGTGTTGTAACTGTCCTGTAACAGCTTGGCTAGGAGATAAGCAAGTTCCGGAGCACAAGTCTTCATGACTATTGCCTGAATATTGTCAGGGCCGGTAGCCTTTGCAGTATCTAGTATCTCTGTATATTCAAGGCTGAGATAGACAGATTTTTAATTAGCAAAGGAATCATGGATAATAGGAAAAAGGAGGGAGAGTGGAGTTGAGAACTATCAGATCAGCCATGATTTCACTGAATGATGGAGCAAACTTGATGGGCTGAATAGCTTACTTCTGCTCCTACATATTATGGTCTTATAAGCTGTACATGTTGGGAGTGAATGTTCTCTGAACTGTTTCTAATCCAACTGTATCATTTTTCAAACAAAGTGGCCAAGACCGTACAGAGTACTTTAAATGTGGCCTCACTAATACTCTGTACAGTTGCAATTTTGTATTCTATTTCCCTTGCAAAAAAAAACACAAACACCCCACAGATCTATTAGGCCTTAAAGTCCCTGGAATGTTTAAAGTAATAATTATTGCTGTACAAAACACACTTGCTCATTGTAATATTTTCTGATACCAAACTCAACAACATTTTGAAAAACAGTTCAATTGTTTATGGTTTGCAATCCAGTTGAGTGCATCAAGATAATTCTTTGTAAAACCTAGCAGTTTGTTGTGTCAACTTTAAAAACATAGATTTGTAAAATTAAAAAATGGTCTAGAGTCTGAATTTATATTCGTTTGTGGGGAATGGTGAAAAATAAATCACTGTTCCACTTTGGCTCCATGATAGATACATAATTGCTTAGACATTCTGAAAATGTGCTTCCGTTTCACCTACTGGAGAGTACAGCCACTTATCAATGTCACATTTCTCTTTGTGACACTTATTATCATCCCTTCATTTGAATTTAGATGTTCAAACCCAGCCTCTTCCAAAAAATGGACTATTTTGTGCAATTACTTAGTGGAAATGGGATTGCAATTGCCCAAGTTCTGTTCAAAAAGGCCTGTCATCACTGGGAAAAAAAAACTTTTACCTCATAAATTGATATAAACCCAAGTCTCCAGTATTTGGCTGACATATGGATGAGTTATTTGAAGGAGTAACACAGTCAGGATAAAGGTGGACCTGCAGAAATACTATATTTGGAATTCCAGAAGGCATTTGGTAAGGTGCCACCTCAAATGTTATTGCATTAAAAGTTCATGAGGTAGGAGGTGCCCTATAGCATGGATAGAAGATTGGCTGCCTGGCTGGCTCAAAACAGACAGTTAGCATAAATGGGTCTTTGTCTGATTGACAGGATGTGATGAGTGGAGTCCCATGGGGTCCAAATGCTTACAATTTGCATCAATGATTTAGCTGAGGGGAGCAAAGGCAAGGTAGCTAAATTTGCAGATGACTTCCAAGGGAGTGCGAAAGTATGTTGTGAAGGAGCCTGCGAACAGATAAAGGCAGATTGAATGAGTGGGTAAAAATCTGGTAGTTGGAGTATAATGTGGGAAAATGTGAAGTTGTTCACTTTGGCAGGGTGAATGAAAAAAAGGTATTACTTAAATGAATGATTGCAGAATTCTGGGTACAGAGGGATTTAGCTGTTCTGGTGTATGGGTCTCAAAGCATTGGTATGCAGGTCCAACACATGGTTTGCTGTCTTTTATTGCAAAAGGAATTGAATATAAAAGTAAGGATGTTATGATTGAATTATACAAAGCATTGGTGAGATCAAATCTTGAATATTTGTGTTGGCTTGGTCTCCTTATTTAAGGAAGGATGAAAATGCATTGGAGGTTGCTCAGAGGAGGTTTACTAGGTTGATATCTGGAACAAATGGGTTGTCCTATGAAATATGTTGGTCAGACGGGGCTTTTAACTACTGGAGGTTAGAAGATTGAGGGGTAATTTGACTAAGTATACAACATCCTCCATGGTCATGACAATGTTATGGAAAAGCTGTTTCCTCTTGTGGATCAGTCCAGAACTGGGGTGACAGTTTTAAAATTAGAGGTCACCCTTGCAGGGTAGAGCTGAGGAGAATTTCTTTTCACTCAGAGGGTTGTGTGACTTTGGAACTCTGTCACAGAAGGCAGTGGAGGCAGAGTCATCGAATATTTTCAAGACAGATGTTTGTAGAAACTTGTTAGGCAAAGGAATCAAAAGTTATTGGAAAGTAGATGGAAATGTGGAATTCGAAGCACAAACAGATCAGCCGTGATCTTATTGTGTGGTGTAGCAGGCTCAAGGGGCTGAATAGTCTTTTGTTTTAACCATTTGTGGGATGTGGGCTTCGCTAGCCAGCTTTTATTGCCTGTCCCAAGTTGCCCAAATGACTGCACCTAATTCATGTGTTCGTATTAACTTATCATAACAATTAGATTCCCGATGCTATGTACACCCTATCCCCTGTTTGGCTGGATTAGGTCAAAGACATATTTCTTTTTTGTTGAGAATATAAATTTGTAATTTGTTTTTAGGATGCAAGAAAAGGCGAAGGTGAAAGCAAGCTCTTGTAGCAGCCAGGCAGCAGAAATACTTGTAGCTCCAGTAAGTGATTAGATAACGTGTACTCGCATTAAGAAAGCATGGTTAACTTTTCACTCATAAAGAATGTGTTTTAAAAGTGAAAGCATATTTCCTCCATTAACTAATTAGGTGAAATACATATTTTGAAATAGTGTAGTATCCGACCTTAGAATCATTACTGCTTTATTTTGCTAAATAAGCAAAGTAAATATAGTCCTTGATATAAAAGAGACAATAACTCTAAATAATGCATTGGAATCATAAAAACTATATTATCTTTCCCCTTGTTCTATATTAATAATAACAGCACACTGTAATCATTGTAATTTTCTTTGATACTTCTTAAGGGTTAATATTCTGCCAATCTTGAAACTTTTCACCATACGAATTTAGGTAGGATACTTACCTCCAACCTTTGCTGATGCTACCTTTGGTTTGCCCAGCAAAGGCATGGGATAGCAAATAGAGTGGGCCAGGAGGGGACTTTTCCATGAATAGATTCTCCTCTACTCAATGTTTCAACTTGATGCAAGGTCAAAATCAGGATTCAATATAAAATCTTTCTTTTGCTTTCATGTATTATTCTGGCATTGTGTAATAGCATACCATCCTGGAGTCTAATATGGTCACCATAACATCAGTTTGAAGTTTTTTTGACTTTTCCCCATCTTAAAATGTTTTTGTTTTGTTTTTGTTCTCTCCTCTCCTCCCCTCAAAAATCCAACTTAATACCATTAGTCAGACTAAGAGGTCGGCCAAACAAGCCATTTCTGAACTTCTGCTCTTCAGAAATGTGACTGAAATTGTTTTCTTTTAATGTGCATATATTAGCCAGCTCTGACATTCTGATGATTTAAAAATGGCTTCTTAAATTTCTGGAATGGCGAGTTTATCAACATAAATATCATATAATCGATGCTGACAATGAAAAGAACTTTATACTTCAGGAAAGGCAGCAAGCCTGAAACAGCAAACATAGTTTTGCGTTGTGTCTTAAAGGGAATGGTCTAGGTTGCAGTCCCAGATTGTGACACCACGACTTCCTTGAAGAAAGAAATCTGAATTGTTAGAGAAAACCCATCAGCCACTTTATGGATATCCAGACAGACTGTTTACTGTGTCCACTCCACACAACACACTCACTTTCACAATCACAAACAGTTCCATTTCAATACTGTGCAACTGCTGTGTACATGTCAAACAGTAACACGTTATGCAGGCCCATAATTATTTTTCTGAGGAAGGTATCTATCATATCTTCCTGAGGAAGGGTCACCGGACCCAAAACATTAATCTGTTTTCTCCTCCACAGATGCTGCCAGACCTGCTGAGCTTTTCCAGCAACTTTGTTTTTGTTCCATGTCTATTTTTGTAGCAGTTCCCATGGTTGACTGGTTTATTACCGCTCAATTTGAAGATTACATCTACTGAGAGTCTTGGGTTTCTGCCCTCGGTCTTCCGAGATTTATTCTCAACCCAGAGATCTTTGGGCACATAGGGCAGGATATCCTAAGACGTAGAGGGATCCAGAGTGCAGGATTTGCTTCCATTTCTTTCCTTTATTCATAAATTAGCATGGGGAGGAGTGAGGCATTGTAGATATTTGAAAACAAGGATGAGAATTTTAAAATGAAGGCATTGCTTGACTGGGAGCCAAGGTAGGTCAATAAACACTGGATAGGTGACTAAAGCTTGCTATGAGCAAAAATATGCATAGCAGAGGTTTGGATGATATCAAGTTTTCAGAAAATGGAATATAGGAATTTAGTACGGTGTGTTTTGGAGCAGTCAAGTTTAAAGATAACAAAGGCATGGATGAGGGATTCAGCAGCAGATGATCTGAGACAGGGTGAGGTCAAGTAATATTATGGAGTTAGAAATGGGCAATCCTACAGATGGCGTAAGTATGTGGTTAGAAGCTGATCTCAGGATCAAATGTGACACTAAGGTTGCAAACCAACTGGCTTAATCCCAGACTATTGTCAAGGAGGTGGATCAAGTTAGGGGATAAAGTTTGGAATGGGAGCTAAAACAATGGTTTTAGGCTTCCCAATATTTGATTGGATTCATGTTATATAAAATTACAAGATCATCAGTTAGTGCAGGAATCCTCTGCACACAGAAATTTATATTGCATTGTAACAAGGTGAGTGGGTGGGTAAGTGGAGCTGAGTCTCAAAAAGAACAGCCATGATCTTATTAAATGGCGGGGCAGGCTCGAGGGGCCAGATGGCCTACTCCTACTCCTAGTTCTTATGTTCTTATGTTATGTTCTTAACTTACTAGTGCCTATCTGAAATGCTCCATTATCTAACTACTGTAATGTTTCTATAAGTTGGTCCTTGTGGCTACATTATGGAAAGGCATTGACAGCTTTGAATCATTGAAAGCGTCACGACAGGTGGACAGTTAGCAACCTCTAGCTCAGACCTAAGGCTTTGTTGCAAGAGTTTAATACATGCTTGACTTTCTAGACTAACATCGTATCTGGCACCATGGAGACCAATAATTAGAGAGACACAATGGCAAAATTGAAGTAAGCATGAGAGATGTTTTATTTTCCATTCCCATCTAATGGCATGTCTCTGCATGTAAGCTGCAAGTCAGACTCTAGGAACCTATAGATCTGAGTTCAAATATTAACCTATTCTGTCTTGTCATTTGTCAGAAGTGTCACCTGTCATAAGTGTTTATGCATAGTGACTTAGAAACTAAGTACGGTCCTTTTCTGACTCATTTGAGTGCTGCTGATCTCCTGCTGATTTCCCATTGATTAAAGATCTTTGATATTATGCTGATGTATGATTTTTAAGGTGTCTTTTATGCCTTAAAGATGTCCCATTATGCTTGATAGACAGTCAATCACTTCAATTGTTTCTAGGCAAGCTTAACACCAGATTTGAAAACATTAAGATCCCAGCTGTGAAGCACCAAGATAAATGAGGAATTAGTCTCCTTCAATAGTTTTAGTTGAAGGATAAATATCAGTCAGGATTCTGGAGTTACTCAGGCTTTGAAACACTTTGAGAGCGAATTTCCATGGGGACTTCCTTATTTTTCCACCTGAGTTATTACGACCAATTATGAATTGATCCTGACTCCAGATTTGCCCTTTATGCTCACTCGTGTGATATGAACGCCACTTTTAAGTCAAACAGTTGTTGTCCATCCATAATTGCCCTTCAGAAGTAGTGTTGAGTTACCCACTTGAAGTGCTGCAGTGTCGTGAAGGTAATCCCACAGTGGTATTAGTGAGAGTTCAAGGATTTTGGCCTTGATCTGGTATGAGAACAATGATATATTTCAAAATCAGAATTGTGAGTGGAACCTGCAGATCATGATGTTCCTAAGTGTTCGCTGCCCTTGTTTTTCCACATGGTCAAGTGTATGGAAAGAGTTGTCAACAGGGGTATGAAGAGTTTCTGCAGCACATTTTCTGGATAGTACACTTTGCGCTGGCTCAGGAGGGAGTGAATGCTTAGGGTGCTGAAGAAATTGACTGTTTTGCCTTGGGTACTGTTGAGCTTGATTATTGTTGGATCTGCATTCATCCAGGAAAGTGGAGTTAATTCCATTATATTCCTGACTTGTGCCATGTAAATAGTGGAATTTACCCCATTTATAACCTTCTTTAGCTCCTGAAAAAGATTGCAAAAGCATTCTTTTGTTCAAACTGTCAAAAGACGTATAATCAAGTCTATACATATACATATTAGCCTTAAAGACAACATATTTTGCCAGTCCAGCTCGTCCCCGCCTCCCTAACCTGTTCTTCCTCCCACCTATCCCCTCCTCCCACCTCAAGCCGCACCTCCATCTCCTACCGACCAACCTCATCCCGCCCCCTTGACCTGTCCGTCCTCCCTGGACTGACCTATCCCCTTCCTAACTCCCTACCTACACTCACCTTTCCTGGCTCCATCCCCGCCTCTTCGACCTGTTTGTTTCCTCTCCACCTATCCTCTCCTCTATCCCTCTTCTATCCGCCTCCCACTCTCTCCCTATTTATTTCAAAACTCCCTTCCCCTCCCCCTTTTCTGATGAAGGGTCTAGGCCCGAAACGTCAGCCTCTCTGCTCCTATGATGCTGCTTGGCCTGCTGTGTTCATCCAGCCCT